GACCAGACCCGAAAAAAAAAAAAGAATGGGAAGATAGAACTAATAACTCAGTGGTGTTTGAGTGCTGGGCTAGCAGGTTATAGCCCTGAATTTAATCCTTAGTCTCACACACACGCACGCACGCACGCACGTGCACTCGGGGATGCACACACAGGTACACACATGCTAATGGACAATATTGCATCTTAATGGATTCCACTGAAGCCTTCCTCAGGCATTTTTTGATGGGGCTATTGCTGTAACAGGAGCTACTCACAGAAACTGCCTGAAATCTGGCAGGGTCAAATATCATTTACATCTTAATTTAAACTTCAAGTCTTTCCATAAAGGAAGTTGTCAGGCCTACTACCAAGTTTTTGTTAGCTTCTTTCCTTTTGATTTCCTTACTTGTTTCTAAACTTAAATGATACTAATGTTATCAGTGATCCCTCTAACTCATTAAATAAATACTGTGTGTGTGGCATCATTCTAGAGTCTGAAGCTAGGCTGGGGAGTTGGCTTAGTGATAGAGTGCTTGCCTTACACACATGAGACCCTGAGTTCTATTCCTCAGCACTACATAAGCAGAAAAAAGCCGGAAGTGGCGCTGTGGCTCAAGTGGTAGGGCACTAGCCTTGAGCTGAAGAGCTGAGGGACAGCGCCCAGGCCCAGAGTTCAGCCCCCACGACTGACAAAAATAAATAAATAAATAAAATTTTAAAAAACTAAAAAAAAAAATACAGTCTGAAGCTAAAGTAAATAGTTTCTGCTCCCATGCAGTTTATCATCTAATAGAGACTAATACAAGAAACAAAGTTTTTAAGTAAATATGACTAACAGAAAACAGGTACAGAAAAGTACCCATTCATGAAAGGATAGTCCAGGAAAGCCTGGAAGCAGCAACAACATCTAAGTAGAGACCAGAAAACTGTGCTTTATGTAGAAAGCCACAGAGCTGTGTGTCATGCTCCATAAGTTGTTTTTGAAGCCTATGTTCCTTTGTATGAGTTGGAGCTAGCAGGAGGCCTTTTGTTGTGTTGCCTGGTGTGTTTGATACAGGCTTAGGCCATTCTGAGGATGCCTAACATGATTCACTGTTTCTATTTCTGATGCAGAGCTGGGAGTTTGGGATCCCACTATGCAGAGAGCTGGCATGTCAGTATGAGAGCCTCTACGATTATCAGAGCCTCAGCTGGATTCGGGTGAGCTTTATCCCATCTTCTACCCCAAGATGTGTCCAAAGGTGCCTGGACTCTCATGGCATGGGTTTGAGCGAGCATTCTGAGTGAAATGGGCCCCTGATTTAGTGCCTTGGACAGTACAGGAGAAGCAGAAGCCAAGATTCCTGCCTCAAGGTATTTTCATTCTAACAAGGGAACCAAAACACACCTGGTAAATGATTTTTTTATGGTCTGGATTCTGAGGGTTACTCTGAGAAGAGCAGCATAGGCACAATAAGCTAAGAGGTTTCAAGATGGCAGCTCACTTTCCTGAAGAAGCTTTTCTTGAAATAATTTGCGCAAGAATGCTTCATCTAAAAGCTGTGTTACTAGATCTTTCCCCATGACTTGTAACTTTTTTTTTTTTTTTTCCTGTCGTGGGGCCTGAACTCTGGGCCTGGGCGCTGTCCCTCAGCTCTTCAGCTCAAGGCTAGCGCTCTACCACTTGAGCCACAGCGCCACTGCTGGCTTTTTTCTTTTTGCTTATGTGGTGCTGAGGAATCGAACCCAGGGCCTCAGGCATGCAAGGCAAGTGCTCTACCACTGAGCCACCTTCCCAACCCCTTGTAACTTTTTTTTTTGCGGGGGGGGGGGGTCCCAGTCATGGGGCCTGAATTCTGGGCCTGGGCGCTGTCCCTCAGCTCTTCAGCTCAAGGCTAGCACTCTACCACTTGAGCCACAGTGCCACTTCCAGCTTTTTTCTTTTTGCTTATGTGGTGCTGAGGAATCGGCTTCAGGCATGCGAGGCAAGCGCTCTACCACTGAGCCACCTTCCCAGCCCATGACTTGTAACTTTTAAGCACTTTGTCCTTCTTCCTTTGTTTTAAAGCAAAATAGTCAAAAATTAAGTCCAATGCCCATGATTGTTGTAGGTCTGCACACATTTTTCCTGATTGCTTATACTAGTTTTTGAATCATAACAGTGGTTGATTTCTTCAGCAAAAAGAAAGTAGCATTCTCAGTTTATATTCCCTGCACCCTCGTCCTGGGGCTAACTCTGCTCAGTTCCCTGATCTAAATTGGGATTTGGAAATGGTTCCTTACAAGTAATTTCTTCACTGATTGTTGAAGGCCATTATTCTCCAGTAGGCTAAATTCATTAGTGCTATTCTCCCCAGTTTCGGTTACTTTTACCTAAATGTGAAGCCAGGTCAGCCAGACTTAAATATTTACCATGAATCAATCAGCCAATTGACTGATTGAAGTTTAAAATCTCCTAAATTGGAACCAGTATCGGTGATGCTCACAAATGAGCCTTTTTTTAAAACCATGGTTATTAATACTGTTAGTTAAGTGATAGATGAATGAGAAGATGCAGTTGTACTGACAAGAAATGATAGTAGCTATAAGCAACCCTAGTTCGGGATCAAAACTAATACAATGAATATCAGTCAAAAATGTAAATCACAGGATGGACATACGGCCTAAGTGGTAAAGCATCAGCCAAACAAGCAAAGCTGAGTAAGGGTGAGAGGCCTTACATTGTTAAAAACAAAACAAAACAAAAAATCCCCACAAAGTCAGAAGTCTCTGGACAGAAAGAGTCCATATTAAATACATTCCCCTGCCCTACCTATCAGGTGGTGATGAAGGAGGATTTCCTCTTTCATAATGCAGTTCCCTGAAGGAAGACTGGTCATACCTAGGCAATTATTTTCTTACCTAGAGTTGCCTTAATCCCTTTCCAGAAGACAGTCTCAGATGGGTCTAGGAGAAGTTTCTTTGGATACCAACAACAGTCAGACAACCTGAAGGCAATCACCTTTCTTGTTCACAGAAAATGGAAGCCAGCTACTATGATAACATTATAGAGCAGCAGCGCCTGGAGCCTGAGTTCTTTCGGGTTGGCTTCTATGGCAGGAAGTTTCCATTCTTCCTTCGGGTGAGTCCAATCAGGTGGTCACAAGAACTCTTACTCATAATTCACTTATTACTTACACTCTTCCTTTTAGCCTAGTCTACTGAATACATCTTTTCAAAGTATTGGCCCATATAGCTTGATCAACAGAGAGACCACTCCTGGGCCAGGACAATAGTACTGGCTTGTGAGAGCCCAAACAGTTTTAGACTGAATGAGATTATAATCAGTTCTTCTCAAGAAGGACATAAGTTTGGGAATCAGAACAAGCTAGATAATGTTGTTTATCATGGGCCAGGGCTATTTTTCCTTAGAAAATAAGTTTCTTGGCAGCCTCAGTAGCTTGAAACTGGCTTTCCAAATTGTTCCTATTTATGCCTTTCACAATGCCATCATCAGACCAATTCACTGTGCCCTGACTATGGAAGTTTTCCTACAGTGGAAAATGGCCTGCATTATCAGGAAGGAAACTTGTGTTTCTTCTTCAGTACCTGGACATCCTTAGCATTCCTCATCCCCACATTAATTTCTGTTCAGTGCCACTCCATTCTGTATTCTTTTCCCTTGTTTTTGAATCTAAGACAAGCTGCTGGTGAAAACAATGTCAGTTGGTGCTTGCAGGTATTAGAAAAAGAGAGAACACTGCACGTAGGGATCATGGTTTCATAGGAAATGGTGCAGAACACAGGCCGTAGATCGGCCGCCCTCAGAATGTCCATCATGGCTCAATCCAGAGGCAGTATGTGATTTTATTTATTTAGCACAACCCAGAAGCTCCAAACAGTAATTATCTTTTTTTTTTTTTTTTTTTTTGGGTCTGGTCGTGGGGCCTGAACTCTGGGCCTGGGTGCTGTCCCTTAGCTCTTCAGCTCAAGGCAAGCGCTCTACCACTGAGCCACCTTCCCAGCCCCTCAAACAGTAATTATCTTGAGCCCATAAGCTATATACCATAAAAATTTAGCTGTCCTTAGGAATGAGCTACATAGATCTGCAGCTTTGACCTAGATTGGGGCTAGAGGTATGGCTCAGTGGCAAAAATGCCTGCCTGGCAAACTTGAAACCCTGAGTTCAAACTCTAGCACTACTTAAAAAAAAATGCTGAGTGCCTGTGGCTCAGACTTGTAATCCTAGCTCTGCAGGAGGCTGAGATCTGGGGATTGTGGTTCAAAGCCAGCTTGGGCAGGAAAGTCTGTGGGACTCTTACCTCCAGTCAACCACCAGAAAACCGGAAGTGGTGCTGTGGCTCAAGTGGTAGAGCACTCGCCTTGAGCTGAAGAAATGAGGGACAGTGCCCAGGCCCAGAGTTCAAGCCCCACAACCGACAAAAAAAACCCCAAAAAACCCTAAGACTAGTTCTGATTGTCTGATTGTTCCAAGTCAAGTATCTTCCTAAAGTTCAGTGTCTGCAAATCTCAGCAAACAACTTGGAAAGTTAACAGAAGCCACAGAAGTCCAAGATAACCAATTTCAGTTAGCCTATGTTTTTCCCAGAAGCAATCATTCTAGGCTAAAAGGAAGAATAACCTATGTGAGAATGTAAATACAACAGGGACAACATGCCAGGAAGAGCTGCCAGTGTCTCTGACCACTTGTTGAAATAGGTCTAGTAAGGCAGCTGGGTAGGCAGTCTCAGCAGTGGCCTCAGTGGGACCTCTTCTTCTATCATCCATGACCAGCTGTGAGGCAGGCAAAGTAGCAGGGCTTGGAGTATCTTGTCCACAAGAAGACTTTGCCACAAAAAACAAACTAACCGGGCTGGGAAGGTGGCCCAGTGGTAGAGTGCTTGCCTTGCATGCATGAGGCCCTGGGTTCGATTCCTCAGCACCACATAAGCAAAAAGCCGGAAGTGGCGCTGTGGCTCAAGTGGTGGTCGAGTGCTAGCCTTGAGCTAAAGAGCTGAGGGACAGCGCCCAGGCCCAGAGTTCAGGCCCCACAACCGGACCCCCAAAAAAAAAAAAAAAACTAACCCAAACCCAATATGACATAACAAAAAGTTTTAAGAAACGTATAGGTAGAATGACAGTGATTCATTCCACTCACTTACTTGCAAAGGAATTTGTTACCACTGGAGTTTATCAATGCAATAAACAATGACCGAATATTATCTGGGAACTAGTAAGTGTTTAGATTTCTTTTCCTAGCTGACAAAGTGTCGTTGAAAAGCATACAATGATCTTCCCCAATTTATTTGGCATTACCCATAGCAATCATTCCTTGGCACATAGTTGGCTCTGGTTGTTACCACAAATTGCTTTCCCTACTCCTCTCTAGCAGGCTACTGTAGGTGGGCCTTCTAGGACTTTAAAAACAAAGAAAAAAACAACAACTTTGGTTTTGCATTTGATTTTGTTTTCTAAAATCCCAGGCCCTGCTTTGCTCCCTTGCCCAAGTAAGGTATTCCTCTTTCCTCCAAGCTCCTACTGCTTGTGCCTCATCCCCAGAGCTGCCACACCACAGTGCAATTCTCCTTTCATCTTCCCTCTTCAACTGTTATTTTTCTTAAGACAGGGACTGAGTGTTGTGCCCTGTACCTGTCTCCAGCCTGGTACAGAGGAGGCTCCTAGGACATGATTGTGAGATGAATAACTCCTAACTCCCATGTACAGACAAGGCATAGAGTATGCTATTTTGGCAGAACAAAGAATATGTGTGCCGGGGCCATGACTACGAGAGGCTTGAGGCCTTCCAGCAAAGGATGCTCAGCGAGTTTCCACAGGCTGTCGCCATGCAGCACCCCAACCATCCGGACGATACCATCCTACAGTGTGATGCCCAGTGTATCTTTTGACACTTGGTGGAGGGGGGATTGCTGGGATCTTGGGTGGTGAGTCTAACCAAGGCTCCTCAACCCCACAGTTGGCATTCAACCTACCCACATGGCCCAAGTCCTCAATCTGAGCTATGTCCTCCACATAGAGGCCTCAGCGCAGGCAGTGAAGTGGCCATATAGTGGTCATCAGCAGGAAATGAGGTAGCTTCGCAAACTAGCTCCTATCAGCAGTTTAGCCTTCACCCTGCCCTGTGAGGAGCCTGCCAAGATTGTTAGGGGCGATTATTATACAGTGTAACTGGGATCCTGTGAGGGCTTTTGTTATGGGCCAGCCCAAACCCTTGCAACATTCTCCCTGCATTCTTCTGGCCTCTTTCCCTTATTTTTTAAAGAGGAAGCAGATAATACGTAGCTCTTACCATCTCATGTTGGCTGAGTGCTGCTAAGACTACTTGCTGATCAGGGAAAAGAAGATAATTTGTCTGACTCTGATTAGGCCTCATCTGCCCCAAATATGTTAACTGCTTCCAACACTGCTACCAGTAGAGAACAGGGGCTATGGTGCTTCTTCTTTCAGGTACTAACAGGGGTCAGTTACTCAGGTCTTTCTCTTTGATAAGTCTGGATTTCCCTTCACTCCATACCACGCCCAGACTTGCAGATCTATGCAGTGACACCCATTCCAGATTATGTGGATGTTCTGCAGATGGATAGAGTACCAGATCGTGTCAAGAGCTTCTATCGAGTCAACAATGTGAGGAAGTTCCGCTATGACAGGCCTTTTCACAAAGGCCCCAAGGACAAGGAGAATGAGTTCAAGGTGAACAAATAAAGGAAAGCAGGGGTTGTGCTCACAAGTGCAAGGGCTAGCCTGATTTTGTTGGGAAATCAGCACTATTGCATCTCTTGGGTCAGGCAGGTGGTGCAAAACTTGCCTAACTGCATGCTATTTGACTGTGCCCTCCCTGCAGAGCCTGTGGATTGAGCGTACCACACTGACTCTGACCCACAGCTTGCCTGGCATCTCTCGGTGGTTTGAAGTGGAAAGGAGGGAACTGGTGAGTTACGCTTTACAGCCACTCCCTCATGACTCTGGGGAGCTTTCTCTCTAAGGACTGAAGGAAGAAAGAATTTGGGCCATCTGCCTAGCCTCAGCTTCCCATGTCAGTCCTATGATGGGAGCTTTGGGTGCCTTCTCTCATCTAAACCACACAGCACACCTTAGCACACCTTAACCTTCCAGTTTACAAATAAGAAAACAGTCTCTCAATGAAACCAGAGCTCTCTGGTTTCCGTGAGCTTAGTGCTCTTACTGCTTGCTGAATTTCCAAGTACCTATAAGGACCTTTCAGAAGAAAAAAGTAGAAAGGGCCCAGGAAGTCCTGAGGCCATGGGACAAAGGAAATCAGTGTTACAGGGGTAGAATGCTGCTCTCAGAAATGTAATGTGGGACTATCATAGTTCCTGGGAGGACTCTGTGCTCTTGTGTCCCCAGGTGGAGGTGAGCCCTCTGGAGAATGCCATCCAGGTTGTTGAGAATAAGAACCAGGAGCTTCGAGCCCTGATTAGCCAGTACCAACACAAGCAGGTGCATGGCAATATCAACCTGCTCAGCATGTGCCTGAATGGTGTCATTGATGCAGCTGTCAATGGAGGCATTGCACGCTACCAGGAGGTAAGCGGGACCCTGGATCAGACCCACATAGGCAGCATGGCTAAGAAGACCATTCAGAAGCTCCTTTTCTCAAAATTGCAGCCATCCTGGGAAGCTTTCCCAGCTAACCATCTTCTGATTAAACTAGCACGAGATAGTTCTAAGGTGAGGCTATAAGCTCTTGACGTGACACAGCTTTCTAATGGGGCCTGTTCTTCATTTCTATTCCCTGAGCTCCGTCATGTGGTTAATCCATCTGATTATGGGAGAAAGTTAAGTGGCCTCCCGGGGCCATCTCTTTATGAAAAAATGAGTTGTAGGCTGGCTAAGATGCTAGTCCCCAAACCCAGGCCATCATTCCTGCCTGCCCGATTCAGATCACGCAGGCTCTGTGAGGCACTGAGGCCAGCATCCCAGTTAAGGTGACTTGGTCACCGCCAATTCTGCTCAGGAATGAAAAAAATAATAATAATAAATCCCAATTATCAGAGCTTCAAGTCAGAGTTACTAGTGAGGAGGCAGCCTAGCTGCCTTTTAGGGTCACCTTTGAACTCATGTTTCTGGGGCCCCATCTTAGGTAGGAAAATAATTTCTTATCTGGCCTTTCTCTTCACAGGCCTTCTTTGATAAAGATTACATCACCAAACACCCAGGAGACGCAGAGAAGATTGCTCAACTCAAAGAGCTAATGCAGGAGCAGGTATAGCTTGCAGGATTTTGAGGCCTGCCACCAGTGAGAAAGGCCAAATATTTCCGGATGACTGTAGTTCTTAAGTCTGTTTCCCTGCTTAACACAGAGGCCTTGTTTGGCACCCTGTATAGGTCCATGTCCTTGGAATTGGGCTAGCAGTCCATGAAAAGTTTGTACACCCAGAAATGAGGCCTTTGCATAAGAAGTTGATCGATCAGTTCCAAATGATGCGGGCCAGTCTGTACCATGTAAGTTGATCCCTGACCTGCCCCTGCGGTACTGCCTCCAGACCCATGCCACAAGCTAAAGAAAACTAGGAGGGAGGGTGGGAGTGAGAAGCTGTCCCAGCCACAGTGATGCAGGAGTCAGGTGTGGATGCTCTATTCAGGGCAAAGGTGATCAGGATCCTCTCATTCCCAAATGAGGAGTCAGAGTCAAGGACAAACAGCAACAACAAAACAAAAACTTCTTTTAGGATACCAGGCTAGTGCATAGAGATTTGCATATGTAGATGAAGAGTTTAATTAAAGTATGTGGCCTACATGAAGGGGTCTATTTGGAGATTATTTTCTTTGCAAGAGCCTAAAAGATTTAAAATATGATCTAAGGCAGCTCTCTTTCTCCTCTCTCTCCCTCTCCCACTCTTCGTTTCTTTTCTTCTCCTCTGACTCCCTTCTCTCCTTCCCTCTCCCCTGCATCTCAACTTCTATGATGTCTAGTGACCCAGGCTCATATCTCAGAAAGTCTTAGCAGCCAGTACTTTCCTCTTGGCTGCTTTTAGAACTATCAGACAGATTCTGTGGCTAGACCTGGCCCTAGAGGCCTCCCAAACTCTGGCCTTGGCCCTTTGGCCTGATGGACCAATATTCCAAGGACCTATATTCCAAGATCAGTTTTCCTTGGCAGGGTCTTTACAGGAAATTCTACTTGGCTAAGGATAGGGCTCAGATAGTCCTGAGTCTCCTATTCACATACTTTTACCCAATTTTTTAACCATGGGGCTGTTTCTATATGTATTCTAGAGAAGCCTTCCTGCGTAGGAAGTTTAAGGCTGGCTCCCAGACCTCAAAGGTTATGATCCCAAACCACCTGCTATACTATCCCATTCTCAGTCAAGCTCTTCTTTTGCCACCTGTTAATATTATCTATTACTAGGCAGAATTAGAACTGTTAGATGCTGAGCCAGGCTGTTATGGACAAGAAGTTACTCTTTAGGAATGACCCCTAGCCACAGAGGCTATAGATGGACCACTCCGATTCAGTGGGCCTGCTCCTTGTGGACCTACTTTGTTCTTGGATGCTATAAGTCATCTTAGTCCCACCAGTCTCCAGTGCAAGTCTTAGCCTGTTTCTGTACAAATAAGGACAGAATGAAAAGTAAAAGTGGAAAAGAATAATGTCATATTTTAAATGAAGACCATATTTTTCAGAGGAAAGCCTCTAGAGCCTAAAATTTCTTCTTCCTATCAGGATTCTCCCATGGTGTTTCAAGGTGAAATGTGAAGAAAATTAATACCCTCCCCTTAAAACTATAAACTGACTACTTAAAAAAGAACTTGAGTAGTATCACTCCATGATAGATATTCTATTACCTGTAACTGTGTCTCCTGTTAGCTTGGCTTGTCTCTACTGTATGCAGACTTCCTCATCACAGCAGGTGGACCAGGCAACCTAGAGCCTAGCCACAGGAGTTGTGCTCTGTCATCTGGGCAGCCCAGTTACTGTGTCAGAAAGCACAAAATGCTTGTGCATACACAGCAAGTGCAGCCATGTGCACACATGGAAGTGTCTTCTCAGACTGCATACGTATATTTCATCCTTAGGCACAACACTTTGGAAGTGAGGACAACCTGCTGCTTCTTCAGACCAAGCTCAGAAACAGCTGTAGACTTAGAACCCTGTCGACTATAGATTGTGAAGGACTTGAGGAAGTCATGCTTTGTTTCTTGAGTCACAAACAGAGACAGACTAATGTGCCTTTACCCAAGAGGGTGTAAGATTAGAAGTTGCTGCCACGAAGTCTACATACTTAGTAAGAATTTAATATGCCAAAATCGAACTGTGCTGTTTTTCAATTACATCAGGACTTTGTTTCCTGTTTCCCCATAGACCATGTCACAGGCAACTTAGCTCACTAAGAACTGGTCCATTCAGCAATCCAATAAAACACAGCCCCAATCCTTATGTAAGATCTTCTCACTAACAACTTATAATAAGTTCTTCACCTCCTCTCCAGCCCTGTTGCACTTTATTTTATATTAAGAGAAAGTCATTAACACAGTCCTTTATGCGCAAACCAACCTCAGCTTATTTCCAGGTATGCTTTCTATTAGCAGAGTCCACCCAGGGTTTCATGGCTTCTGGTACAGCCTCTAGTATAGTTAGGGGAGTGTTTAATCATCACCTAAAAGAAATCAGCAGTTAAGATGATGGTTCTTGTTTTTACATTTTTAACCACCAGCCAGCACATCCCTCTTACCCTTTGCAGATCGATTCTTTGCTCTCTGTGAACACACATGCGTTTCTCAACAGGAGTTTCCAGGTTTGGATAAACTAAGTCCTGCATGTTCAGGCTCCAGCACTCCCCGGGGAAATGTTTTGGCATCACATAGTCCAATGAGCCCTGAAAACATCAAGATGACCCACCGGCACAGGTACGGCCTTAGGACTGGGGAGGGCTCCTTCCAGACAGGTAAGTCTGGAGGATAAGCATCAGAGAAAAAGAGTTCTAGAGAGTGCGTGTGTATTCTTGAATTCCCTGTTACCTCCCCCCTGTACTCCCTCACAGCCCTGCCACGCAGCTCTTGTCACAGGACCCAGGCTCTGCATCCGACTGGATGTCACTGTCCTGGGTGTACACATGCTATTGTGGGAATACAGAGGAATAGCATCAGGTCAAATCCTGAAGGACAGTTAGAAACTTGCTATGCAGAAAAAAGGTTAGGAAAACAATGTGATGAGATATAGGCAAAGTAATGGACACATGCAGAACCCTTAAGGTGTGAACAAGTCACTTTGATCAGTACTTCATAAAGCCAAGTGGCTGGAGTAAAGGACTCTAGGGCATGGAAGCCAGGGCAGAGTCAGCTCTGCATGGGCCTCTTCATGTGGATCTTTGGGCTTAACCCCAAGGCAAATGAGGATTAGCAGTTGGTTTTATGGAAGAGAATGAGATAAAGATGTGGACATTCAAAGTGTCTGCTTGAAAATCAAGAGTTCTGGCCTGGCTGAGCTCAGCTAAGGATATTCAGTCTGTAGGATAGGAGGACAAGGTTTGGGGAGAGAACAATGAGAGATCTATTGCTTAGATTTGTTTTCCACCATGAGCGGCAGCCCAAAACAAGAGTGGCCACTCAGTGAATGAGTAAGAAGAAATCAATGAAGGGCTTCCTGGTATTGATAGAGCAAAACTGTTGACATGCCTATGGAGTCTGGTGTGGAAGGAAACCCACAGATAGTTCGTTGCCAATTATTTTGATAAGGCCTCAATACCAGGAAGACACCTCTGACAGGAGAAGATGTCATCATGGTTGTGGATAGGGATAGGCAACTGCTCAGACTAGCAAACCCATAGCAAGAGGGAGGTGAAATCCTCGACCTGAGTATCATTCCTCTCGATAAACTGTGAATGCCACCAGACTGAGTGGCCAGTCCATTATAGTCCTTCCCAGGTCAGGGGCTCCTGAGCAGCAGAGTGAAGCCCAGGACTGCTCCAAGCCTCAGATGGATGTCAACCTTGGCTACAGCACACTCCCAATCAATGATGGCCAAGGCCTGGGATGACCATATGCACATCCCTCCGCTGTCCCTACTACCCAGCATGCTTTCTCAGCCATGGCCTGATTCCTCCCTATTTCCCCACTCTTGCTCACAGCCCCATGAACTTGATGGGCACAGGCCGCCATTCATCATCCTCTCTCTCCTCACATGCGTCTAGTGAAGCGGGAAACATGGTGATGATGGGCGACAGCTCCATGGGCGAGGCTCCTGAGGACCTGTACCACCACATGCAGGTACCAGAGCTGTCCAAGGAGAATGGGCAGGGTACCATGCCTAGAGGACTCACTTTTCTGTGGAGGATCTGGTCTGAGGGCTGGCAACGCTGCCTAGTTCTCTAGTTTCTGACTTTGTAAACCCCCTCACCAGAACTAGCAAAGCTGCCTTCTTTCTACATACCATTCCCAAGTCTCAGTCCTCGAGCCTTATTTTCCAAGAAGGAATTCCAGTCAGTCCTGGCTGCTCTCACTGATGAGAAAGATCCTCTGCCAGCTTACTTTCTAGCTTGATGTTCCTGATGGCTAGGTTCTGCATCCTCTATGGGTACCTAGTAGAACCAACCCAACAGTTTTCCTCCATGTGGGTGGTTTGGGTAGTTCTTAGTTCTAGCCATCAGCCTGGCCTCCCTCAGGGTCCAGGATACCACATCAGGCACTGGGTCTAGATACTTCAGGGCATGAAGAAGCCAACTCTGGGCCAGTCCCTCAGTCCTGAACATTCAGAACTCTGTCCTGCTGATTTCTCTCCCTTTGCAGCTCACGTATCACAACCCCAGGTACCAGGGCTCAGTCACCAACGTCTCTGTTCTGTCCTCGTCCCAGGCAAGCCCTTCTTCCTCCAGCCTGAGTTCCACTCACTCAGCACCATCCCAGATGATTACCTCTGCTCCTTCCAGTGCCCGAGGTAAGATGGTAGGGAACTGCTTTGAAGAGAGGGCTTCATGATCTCTACTCATCCTCTGTCTTCTGTGAGAGTGCTCTGTGTCTTGGAGAATGTTTGTTTGCGCTTTTAGCATCAAGGATTCAAGGGTTCCTGGCTCCAGACCCTTGTCTCTAGTTGGCGCGCCAACTAGAGACATTGCTGTGGCAGTGTCTACTGCTCTGGCTACTGTGCTGCCCTGGCTAGCCAGCACTGCCTTTCTACCTCAGTAATGACGTGGCCCAGGAGAAAGCTCAGTTCTTTCCCGCTGAAATGTTTGCAAGAATTAGCTTCCAGTCAAGGCAAAAAGTAAGTCTTTTGCTAGGTATAATCCTAGCTATAATCCTTGATCTGAGGATCAAGGTTCAAAGCCAGCCTGGGAAGGAACGTCCATGAGACTCTTATTTCCAATTAACCACCCGAAAACCAGAAGTGGCGCTGTGGCTCAAGTGGTAGAGCTCTCGCCTTGAGCTGAAGAGCTCAGGGATAAGCGCCCAGGCCCAGAGTTCAAGACCCATGACTGACCAAAAAAAAAAAAAAAGAATGAAAAATGGTATAAATTTACATTTTGGAAGATTACTAAAAGAAAGATTCTCTTCAAAGTACACAAACCTTGGAGAGATTTGAAGATTGGAAATAGTATGACACAGTGGAATGTCAGTGACCAATTGTGAAAAGCTGTGACAGTGTGGGGGAAGGAAATGTGAGTTACAACAGCGCAGTCACCTGCTTCCACCTTTATCTAGCTGCACATTTCCATAGGGGAACAGGTCCAGTGAAGACAGAAGCTGAATGTGAAATACAAGTCTTTATACACACCAGCCCTCAGTCTGATGCCATTCTAGCATTCATGCTGCCTTCCTCGTAGGAACTATGGGATCCAGATAAGGGGAGCCAACATTTGGGAGCAGTCCTCTCAAGTGTTAAACCAATGAACCAACAAATTGGTACATGCTAAAGATTTGTCAGCCTGTTAAGACTGCAAAAATAAAGAAGAGACAGAACACTGAAGGATGGCTTTGGGAATAAAAAGGAAGGAAACCTTGGAAGTAGATGTGAACATTTACTAGGAGGTCAGCATTTAGTGTCTTGCAGAAAACACTCCTGATTAAAGCTGTAGAAACAAACTTAGTTACCACCCCCTCCTCCCAGTTGAGTTTTGTTGTTGTTTTCCTTAACCTGAAAATTTTTTTTTTTTTTTTTGGTCCGGTCGTGGAGCCTGAACTCTGGGCCTGGGCGCTGTCCCTCAGCTCTTCAGCTCAAGGCTAGCGCTCTACCACTTGAGCCACGGCGCCACTTCCGGATTTTTCTTTTTGCTTATGTGGTGCTGAGGAATCGAACCCAGGGCCTCAGGCATGCAAGGCAAGCGCTCTGCCACTGAGCCACCTTCCCAGCCCTAACCTGAAATTTTTAAGATAGTCTTAGTTAGATCTTCGATTTTATCTGGCTATTCTTAAGAAAGATCTCTGAGTCATGATTGTTGTTAAAGATTGTATTACTTTGGCATTGCTTAGATATTCTTCTGAGATACGGTTGCCGTCAGGGAAGTTATATGCAGGCTCTTACTACCTTTGTCCTTCTAGCTTACTAGTTACTGGTCTCTTCATAATACCAAGCTCTTACCAAGTGCTTACTGGGGAATTTGCATCGATCTTGCCTTAAGGAAAGCACTACATCAGACAAGAAGAGGAATTATTTTCTCCTCCTTTGGAAGTAACTTTTAATTTCAAGTGTCTTAGTTATCTGTTGTGCACAGTAGGCCAAACTCAGAATACAAGGGTCTTAAAACATTGCCATCTCTCACCAGGCTATGACTTAACAGGGCTCACTGAATCAGATGTCACCTAGGGCTCATTTGAGTTTGATGTCCAAGAGGGCTTACTTACATCACTTTCCGTTAGTGATGGCTGTCAACAGGGAGCTGAGCTCGGACTGTCAACTTGAGCTCCTACATATGACTTTCCAAGTGACCCTAGGCTTCTCTCAGCATGGCTACTGATTTTCCCCAGAGCAAGCAAGCATTCCAAGAAACCCAGGCAGAAGCTGCCTGGCCATATTTCTACTGACCAGTGAAATCACTAAGGTCGAGGGGAGGGCCCTCAGGAAAGTGAATAGGGTTCTACCTCATTTTGCTTATCCCCATGTTGTGAGAAGTGGCATGGGTGTTTTGGGAAGAAAAGCATTAATGGACATTTTTTAGAGACACTCAGGGAAGGTTGAGAAAAGTCTTCTCCCTTTCTGAGTAGATATTATGTGCAAATGTAAACAAAACAACTACATAGAACTGGGCCCTACTGGCAAAAGTAAACAAAATGACTAAATCGAACAAAGAAGGATGGCAAGGGTAGATGCAACCAGAATGAGAGGAAGACAGCTGAGTATGGAGCCATACCAACTATTCACTGAAGAGCCGGAAGGATCTTGAGTTTGAGGCCAGCCTGGACAAAGTTAGCAAAACACTCAACAAGAGAAAAATGAAAGCTGGGCCCTGGTGGCTGCAATCCTAGCTACTCAGGAGGCTAAGATCTGAGGATTGAGGTTCAAAGCCAGCCCAGGCAGGAAAGCCTGTGCAACTCTTACCTCCACTGAATCACCAGAAAGCTGGAAGTGGCCCTGTGGCTCAAGTGGTAGAGCACTTGCCTTGAGCTGAAGAGCTGAGGGACAGCGCCCGGGCCCACAGTTCAAGCCCCATGACCAATAGAAAGAAAAAAAGAGGGCTGGAAATGTGGCTTAGTGGTAGAGAGCTTTGCCTAGCATGCATGAAACCCTGGGTTTGATTCCTTAGTACCACATACACAGCTGGAAGTAGTTCTGTGTGGCTCAAGTGGTAGTGTGCTAGCCTTGAGCAGAGAGGTTCTGGGACAGTTCCCAGGCCCTGAGTTCAAGCCCCACAATCCATATGAGAGAAGAACAAGCTATATGACATCATAGGATAAGACATGTTTTCCAATGAAGGTGGCAGATGCAGAAGTAAATGCAGATGCAGTCTGCGTAAAGAAGGGAACTGTCTTGTCTACTCTGAGGTTAACGTCCCTTGTTACTGATGAGGGGATGGCTTTCATGGAGGCGGTCTGAAGCAAAGTCTTCATTGGATTTACTTCTTCACTATCAGGAGTGGTCATGAGGCCAATGTCCTTCAATGCCATACCCATCCACCCTGTCTACCCAGTTGCTTTGGAACCCTCTGAGATGAATAGCTTACAAGACAGTCTGACCTACTATAAGTCAGCAGCTCCCTCTGGTGGTTAAGGGCTGCTTAGAGGCAGAGAACAGATTTTTGAACCCAATCTAAGTAGGGTGTAGCCTCCATTATCAGAGTACAACTGAAATTGTTCAAAAGCTAGAAGCTCTCATCACATTTTAATGTCTTCATGGGAAGTTATCATCACTCCTCTCCTACCATAGGATTAGCTGTGTAGGGTAGAGGGCAGTGGAATGGAATTGAGGCAGTAGAATTGGACAAGAAGCATAGCACCAAGCTGGGCGCTGGTGGCTCACTTCTGTAAGCCTAGCTACTCAGGAGGCTGAGATCTGAGGATCACGGCTCAAAGCCAGCCTGGGCAGGAAAGTCCATGAGACTTATCTCCAACAAACCACCAGAAAACAGGGAGTGGCGCTGTGGCTCAAGTTGGTAGAGTGCTAGCCTTGAGCTAAAGAGCTGAGGGACAGCACCCAGGCCCACAGTTCAAGCCCTATGACTGACCAAAAACAAACAAAAAAACAAGTACAGTACCCCTTTACTAAGCACCAGAAAAACCACTGTAACATGAATCCAAATCCTCAGCAGAGCACCTAAGCCCTGCCTGGACCTGCACACTGATGTCCCCCCCTTCACTTGAATGAGGAATAGTGAGTACACAGATGTGGGGCTGGCTTCCTGAGCCAAACTGAGCGCATGAGCTGCAATAACGTGGACAGCCTGAAGAGGTAGTTTCAACACATGCCTGGTGTGGAATGGGTATGAGGTAGGAGTTTGATGTGACTGAGTTGATGTAAAGGTGCTGTGAGGAGGTTTGGGGGGTTTGTTGTTCGTTGTTTCATGCTTGCTAAATGGAAAGCAAGCCCTGTCCAAAGGTGTTCTGAATTTCTCACTGGGAAGCCCCTAGACAGATCAACAGGATATGGAGCTTTTTTCCCTTTTTCCTTACATAGCCATCTTCTTGGTTAAAAAAAAAAAAAAACAAACCTGCAAGTCAGTAAAATTCAAGCCAAGTTTTCCAGTTATATTTTAATAATTCCTTTATCAAATGAAGGTTATTTTCAAAGACTTAAGTCTTCAAGCCAGTCCTGAGGTTCTGCAGATTCTACAGCTCGACAATGGAAGAAGTTGTGGGGAAAGTTACGTTACTGATACTATTGACTTCTTGAACTAAAATGAATAGAGAGACTTCTCAAGGAAACCCAAGGCAAGCTGGCTGCAGAACTTTTTTTGGGGGGGGTGGGGGGAGGTCCAGTTGTGGGGCCTGAACTCTGTCCCTCAGCTCTTCAGCTAGCGCTCTACCACTTGGGCCACAGCGCCACTTCCAGCTTTTTTCTTTTTGCTTATGTGGTGCTGAGGAATTGAACCCAGGGCCTCAGGCATGCAAGGCAAGCGTGCTACCACTGAGTCACCTTCTCAGCCCGTGCAGAACTTTTCTTAGCTGTGTCCTGACATGTTAGCACTGCCCCGCCCCAGGAAGACCCCAGAGACCCCAGGCACAGCCTGTAGGAGCTGGTGAGCTATGCTCAAGGGCTGCTCCCAACTGTCTAGGTTCTAAGAGCATATTACAGAGAGGGTTTCACCACCTGAGCCAGCCAGAGGCACCAGCATTCTCCACAAATGGACTGGTGCACTCTTGGCTTCCCATTAGATGTGCTGATATCTAGCAGTGAACACTTGGGGAGCTGTCCAAATTACCCACACCCCAAGAAATCCACCAAGTCATTCTTACTGCTTCTGTGCAAGTTCTCTACCTAGACCTATAATCTGAATCTGATGACAGTCGCCTCACAGGAGGTAGAGTGTGGCCTTCAGAGGATAAAACACGAAGTAACTTACCTCTGGAGCCTGGGTTAAAGCAGGGTTCCATGCTTCTGAGCTCTCTGAAGGGAATATCAGAGCCACTCTACACAAGGCCACAGGTTCCCAGACAGCCTCGTTCTAGGGCTGCAGTAGGATTAACAGCAGAAAGGCAGAGGCCAGGTGTTGGAGATCTCTGGCAGATGGTGCGGAGAGCTATGTGTCGCTGGTATTTGGAGAAGGTAAGTATGTAGAGACCCAGTGTGTGATGTCAAAATGATGTGGCTGTTCCTTAAGTGTCTGTCTCTGTGTGATGATTCCATCACAAACCGGCCCACACCTGTGCCTGGGATTCCTAGCAGAGCCAAGCATCCAGGCCACACCCTGAGCTGAAAGCACTCGCTGCAGAGACCTTAACTTTCTCTGCTCCAGTTGTCAACTGTCCTAACCTTCTGCCTCTGAACACAGTGTTTGGCGGGGGGAGGGGCCTTCCCAGCAGGAATGCCTTGGCTGGGTGACAGGTGCAGTCCCCACAACCACCTAACTACCAGATTTGCTTCATTCCTTTTATCTGCTGAGCTCACCCCAACTGTACGGGGACGTTTGACCACTGAGTCCCTCCATCTGTGGTTTGTCATCTGTGCGTGATTGTTCTCACTTGGTTACAGGCTCTCCCTCTCTGCCAGATAAGTACCGCCATGCCCGGGAAATGATGTTGCTGCTGCCTACACACCGGGACCGCCCAAGCAGTGCCATGTATCCAGCAGCCATCCTGGAGAACGGACAGGTAGCAGCCCCTGCCTGCTGACTGCCCTCTGCTATTATTGTGTTGGCCTGAGTTCCCCTCGTTGCATTTGATGGACCTTCTGTGTTGTCTTGTATGCCTCCTGTGTTGTGACATAAGAAGGCTGCTGAGCTCCTGAATGGAGGCAAGGGGGAGGCCCCTTACAGGGCATGCAGTGTACCTGAATGAAAAACACACCCACACCCACACACCTGTACTACCTGAATGAAACACACACACACACACACACAACCCCCCCCCCCCCCAGTACGGGTGTAGGTAGGATAGCAGCAAGGTTGGACCCAGTACTGCTTGAATCTGTTCTTCTGGCTAGCTTCCTGGACTACTCATTGCATCTGGCAGATGAAATCAGTTTTTGCAACCCATCCCGAAGTGGCTGTGAAGGTAGGTCAGGAGGATGTCCTTGCTGTGTGTAGGGCATCCTCACTGGACAGGTCTGTCTCTTTTAACTGTCCAGCCTCACTGTTTGCTGGGACTCCTCTCCATACCTTTAGTAACAGCTCCCCAAACACCCTGCCTAGAGGCCTGAACCAGGTGAGGCTTGAACTCAGCTCTTCAGCTCAAGGCCAGCATTCTACCATTTGAGCCACTGAACCACTGCTGGTTTTCTGAGTGGTTTATTGGAGATAAGAGTCTCATGGACTTTCCTTCCCAGGCTGGCTTTGAACCTCGATCCTCAGATCTCAGCCTCCTGAGTAGCTAGGATGACAGGCATGAGCCACTGGTGCCCAGCTGCACCTACCCTTTTGAGTACATCAAACTCACCTTCAAATAAGCACTGCCAAGTGCCAGGAGTTTCTCAGTGGCACTTCTCTGTTCCCGATCAGCCTTCCCAGGGAGATCTGCCAAGCTCCCAGCAGAACAGCATGTGATTCCAGGCTTAGTGGCTTCCTTCCCTCCCCTTGGTGCTGACATGGAGTTCACATAGCCTCTCTAGGAGGTGACATCTATCAGTGCTCATTGGGAAAAAGGGATCTTCCAATCATTTCTGTAAGGAGATCTCCCTGGTAGACAGGTGGATGTATGCACAGGTAGAGGGCCCAAGGTGCCAGCTTGGGATGATGGTGCCTCAAATGTCCTGCAAGTCTTGCCCAGGGCTGGCATCAGCTTCTCCGTGCATCTCCAGCATGAGCCTCCCACTGCTTTGGGCTCATCTGATCTTGGAAGATCCTGACTCCTGCAATCCACCCTACTACTTCCCAAGATGTAGCTGGTTATTTTCACACAATGATGGGTGTTTTTTTTTTTCCCTCTCTCTCTCAGCCACCAAACTTCCAGCGGGCCCTGTTCCAGCAAGTAGTTGGAGCCTGCAAACCCTGCAGTGACCCCAATCTGTCCATGGCTGAGAAAGGTATTGTTCCCCTTCTCCAGGACTGCCTACATGCTGATCACCACACTGAATGTCCGTCTTGTCCCTCCAGCTGACAAGGGATGAACCATACCCCAACGAGACTATTCATTAATGCTAACCAATTCCTAAGCTCACCCTTTTACCCACATCTGGTTTGGATCTTGTTTTGTCTGTATCTCTCCCTTTCGCCCAGTCCCTTCCTCTGAGAAGCCTCAGCTACCCTTAACCCAACTTCATGCAAACTCAGGCTGCAGTGGTAACCTTCCCCTAGGCTCTTCTTAACCAGCCCCCAGAATTCAACAAGCCCTTTGATCCCTCTGGTCTCTCGGAAACCTCTCCTAGGAGTTCAGAACAAGTCCATAAAAGCCCTAACAGGAATGAAAAGGACACACCAAAATGAATTTCCCAAAGCTCAGGTTCTCTATAAATAAGCAGTCAGTGCTCCAGAAGAGTCCAGTTGCTCTAGAGCCACTCTGGAGAACAGCTGCCATGAGTATACCTAAATTACAAGGCCTTCACTCACCCATTCCACAAGACTGAGAAGTCCTCCTCAGAACTGGAGCTCTTTAGAGCACATGGCATTTTACCCCATATTCTGCTTCTGCGTGCCTATATGACCCTTATAACTGGCCTAAAGCAGGCCCTAGACGCTTGAGATAGAATTTAACACAGAACAGTACCAAAATGGCAACAGTGGTGAGTTTTCTGCCACCCAGAAACTTTGTCCCCTAGATTCTTTCCCATCTGTTGGAGTTTATAGCATACTGCAGGGGGCTGTCCCCTGTCCTGTCAGAACAGGTCCCTCCCAGGTTTCCATCCTGTCGTCATACCTGCTGACCTCACTGTTCCTTGTCCTCGCTTGATCATCCTGGAGGACAAGGACCTCTGTGTCGTATTTAAGGAGATGAAACACTTGGCTTCACACCCTCAGTGCCTGGTGGGCATATTGATGCCAGACGATGAGCCAAAAGGGGTTGCTGAAGATGCCTTCCCAGACTCAAGGCTCCGCATTATGAAAACAAACCACTCCTTGGGCTCCTGCACCTATGAGCCAAAACAGAGTTCATGTTTTGGCTTTGAGGACCAGAATTCACAGTGGGTTTTCTTCAGTCTGAAGTACAGAGCAGTTAAGAACTAGCCAAGAGCTCACATAGTCTCAGAGCTCAAATGAGTGTTAGCGGCCAGACCAGGATGCTACGCCAACTGGACAGAGAAAAGCCTCAGCTTCAGGCACACTGTAGCAAGAAGCTAGATAAGCCTACCCTGGGTATTGGAGGAAAGGCAGAGTGTCCCAGAACACAGGATACACCAAGAGCAACTATGTCCACACCACAACAAATTAGGTATTTGTCTGGTAGCAACACATCTGCCCTAGATTCCTAACTGAAAATTCCAGAAACTGTACCTTCTTGTGCATGTGGTGGCTATTCTCTTGTCAGTTAACATCTTGGGTTCCATAAGGACCCTACCTCTCACTTGCATAGACCTTTTGGTTAATGTCTTTTCCACCAGGAAAGCCTGCCTCTGCTAGGTGTGCACTGGGGGCCCTAGGCCAGTGCTGGCCAGATAATGCTAGCGGATACAGGGGGATTGCTATTCAACTAGGATAAGTCATCCTGTCTTAGCCCTTGTACATGGTGACGGTCCACAGGCCTCACTGCTCACAAACAGCAGGCTAAGGCCCCACTTGATGGCTTCTGGTTCACATGGAGCAGCTCAGGTAGACAGCCTTTTGTACACCATTACAGCCTTGCCAGCGTCCTTCCTCCACATTCTTCCTTGTGATTACATTCCATGGGGCTTTTTGTGGATCAACTTTTGCAGCCCTACAGTTCTTCCAGGGGCTGTAATACATTAGAGATCCTGATCCATCAGATCCCTCAGATCCATGACTTTTTTTTTTAATGTGTATGATGCAGTTCTTTTGGAGGAAAGATTGCTTCACTACTTAAGAACATGTAGCTCCTGCCATGTCTTGGAAGGAGCATGAACAGGAATAGTTCTGCTCTTGGGGTGGCTCAAGCCAGTGATGCCATGTGCAGAAACTTGCTTGATGCTTGGGATTCTTTCCTCCCTGCGTGAGAAACAGCTGGGCTGCCCCAGCTCTCCTTCCTCGTGTTAGACAGCACCCGGCTGAGCCAGCCGTGGAACTCAGGCTGTTTGGATAGTAACATTCTCTCTTACGCTGCTGTCCCTGAGAAAGAAGGAAAAGGACCTATCAGCTGCTTATTCCTGGATCACTATGGGCCCATCCCCTTTAGTCATTCTCCTCAAAGTCCAGACTCTTATCTCCAGCAGGCCTTGCAATCCCCAACTCAGTGACTGATCCAGGAAAACCTAAGCCTCTGGTGCCTCTAGTTTCCCTTTAGCGCCTGCTGCCCTCCCCTGCTGCTAACAGCCCATAAGGCTCCAGAGAAAGGGCATGTTTCTTCTTGCTGACATTAGTTCTCCAGGAGGAATTAACCTTTCCTACATCTGCAGAGTGGATCCCCTAAGTTCTAACCATTGTTCTTCTCCCTCTCTCCCCTACATCTGTTGCTGAGGGTGGCACTGGGCTTCTTCCTTCGTCTGAAGCCCACTCTATTTTGTATCTGTGGCCAGTGGGCACCTCTCTAGATGTCCCAAAGCATCCACAAGCTCCACAGCCTCTCTTACCTCTCAGGAAGCAATGGATCCGACAGGCTGGGTTCGCTACTTTTCTGAAACAGTTGCATCGCATACCTCTCCTTGCCTAGACAAACTCTGTGTCATCCCCAAACCCAGCCAGTGGGCATAAGAGCAACAGGGATAGGTCAATTTCAGTGTCACCACAGGTCCCCTGTGGGGCCAGTTTAAGAGATAAATCATGTGTATTCCCTGGCTGTGCTCTGGAAGGATAGTCTTATCACCTGGCTTGCTCCCTGCTTTCCCCCTGGGGCCTGGGTAGAAGAGCCCTGACCTTTGATTGGTAAGGAGCTCTGTGACCTGCCTTATGTATTCTCAGTCTCTTCAGCCTCTTCTGTCCTTCTGTGCCTTCTCTTCTCCTGCCAGACCTGAGACTGCAGATGTTCGCTTCTTGCATTTACTGTCAGCTTGCCACATCCTGAACACTCTTCAGACATCATCTTACTCCGTTGCCATCCTCTGGGCCAGCTTCCATTCCTTGCCCTTGCCTCTGTGGGCTGTTGTGCCTCGTTTGGCCAGTCTTTAGTTCCCAGAGCTGGCACGCCACTCCCATGTGTACTGGACAGACAGTGCACACTTGGAGAAGCCACAGATCATAGGACAGGCTTCTCCTGGAGAGTGGCTCAAGAAGCAACCTCCACTCATGCCATCTCTTTCCGCCCTTCAGCGGTGCCAGCAGCCCCCAGCAGCTGGAGTCTGGATAGCGGAGCCCACGAGGCCCAGCCCTTCCTGTCTGCCCACATGGGGCACATCCTGGCTCCCCCAGTGCCTCCCCGAAGCCTGCTGCATGGTAAGGAGACCTCCAGTGGGTCCCTAAAATAGTCCTTGGTCTCAGACACTGCTCAAGAGCCAGATCAACAGCCACGTGAGATGAGCAGATAAGGCAGTCTCTGGGCCAGCACAGGCAAGGAGAACACATCAGGAAAGATCTTGCAAGGCTTTGGGGTCAGTAAGTTTCTGAGTCCAGCAGGTTAGCTCAGTAAGGTCGCACCAGCCAGGGAGGCTGAAGACTGCAGAATTCACCTCACCTCTGTCAGGTACGCCACTCATCAGCTGTCACCGACCAGCCAATTAGGCTGCTGCTGCATGCAGTCCATTGTCCCATAGGGTTGAAGCTCTTACTCTTCATGGCCTCCTGTGTGCAGTGAAAGCTATTTGCACCAGCAGCCTGTGTTTTCAAGAACATCAATGTAAAAAGTTCTTCTTCAATGCAGAGAGACCCACAAGGGACTCCTCCCACACCTGCCCAGTTGGCTCAGCAAAATGGTGCTGGTGTACAGCTTAGTAGGGTTCCCAGCTGAAACTCTGGTTCTGTTCCCTTTGCAGGTCATTATTCCCTACACTTTGATGCCTTCCACCATCCTCTGGGTGATAACCCCCCAGCCCTCCCTGCCAGAACCCTGCGCAAGGTAACGTACTGAAGAGCCACTTCCATGGCTTTATCTGCTGTAGACTCACCCTGGGGTCTACAAGAGGAACCTGAGCCCTTCCCTGCTCACTGTCCCTCAGAATCCAGCTGGCAGAAGCTGGTGGTGCTAGAGCCACACTTGAGCCTCAGGTAACCGAGAAACTTTGCAACAAAACTGATGAGGACAGGGAGATCAGAGGAGCTTGGAAACAAAAGACAGTACCAAGAGTACGTGGACACAGAGCTCTAAGGAACTTGGGAGCTGAATACCACAGGCTCTCGAAAGTAGCTAGGTATAAACATCCCACTGATTGCTCATACAGCCTTTTAAACTAGCATGTGGTGAAAGTGAGAAGCACCAGGCACCAAAGCTTTATGGAGCTAAGCTTCATAAAGTCAAACTTCTAGGTTTAAGTTAAGCCTTGGTGTTAAATCTTTCTGCAGGGGTTCAGAAGGTGGCTCAGTGGTACAGCTCTTGCCTTGCATGTATGAGGCCCTGGGTTCGATTCCTCAGCACCACATAAGCAAAAAGAAAAAAGACGGAAGTGGCGCTGTGGCTCAAGTGGTAGAGCGCTAGCCTTGAGCTGAAGAGCTTAGGGACAGCGCCCAGGCCCAAAGTTCAGGCCCCACGACCGGACCCCCCCCCCAAAAAAAAAAAACCTTTCTGCAAATGAGAAGACTGGGTCAAAGAATTTAGTAACAGGGCTGGGAATGTGGCTAGTGGTAAAGTGCTTGCCTAGCATGCACAAAGCCCTGGATTGTATTCCTAAATACCACATACACAGAAAAAGCCAGAAGTGGTGCTGTGGCTCAAGAGTGCTAGCTTTGAGCAAAAGAAGCTCAGGGACAGTGTCCAGACCCTGAGTTCAAGCCCCAGGACTGGGGGGCCGTGGGGGGGAGAGACACTATTTAGTAACAGAACCATGACTCCAGGGTCTTCTCTGCCCTCCGCAACTAGTCTGATAACTCAGCCTTCTGTCAATAACTCAAACCACAGACAGCCTAGAACTTGGCCCCAGGGTGCACCCAGCCAGGGCAAAGAAGTGCAAGGATTCTGGGGCTTCTTGGCTTGCTTGGGTGGGACAAGGGTTGCTGAAGAAATAAACTGATAGTCGATGAGGTTAAAGTTTACATTGTAAACACTGTAACCCACGTGGCTGGCCAGTCAGCCTGTCTAGAGAGGGATTCTAACGTGCCCACCCTTTCCTTCGCACAGTCACCTCTCCATCCCATCCCAGCCTCCCCCACAAGCCCTCAATCAGGCCTGGATGGCAGCAACTCTACCCTGTCTGGCAGTGCCAGCAGTGGTGTGTCATCCTTGAGTGAGAGTAACTTTGGGCACTCCTCCGAGGCCCCACCTCGAACCGACACCATGGACTCCATGCCAAGCCAGGCCTGGAATGGCGATGAAGACCTTGAGCCACCCTACCTCCCTGTCCACTACAGCCTCTCCGAGTCGGCTGTCCTGGACTCCATCAAGGTCCAACCATGCAGAAGCCACTCAGCCCCGGGGTGCGTCATCCCTCAGGACCCCATGGACCCGCCTGCGCTGCCACCCAAGCCCTATCACCCCCGCTTGCCAGCCCTGGAGCATGACGAAGGCATGCTGCTGCGTGAAGAGACCGAGAGGCCGCGAGGCCTGCACCGCAAGGCCTCACTGCCTCCTGGGAGCACCAAGGAGGAGCAGGCCCGCATGGCCTGGGAGCACGGCCGAGGGGAGCAGTGAAGGGCGAGGAGGCAGCTGCCACCTTCTGTGAGCAGCTGACCCAGCACTCCAGGTCCGAAAAGCAAATCCCTCCCAGGGAGCTGGAGAGGCTTGGCACTCAGGAGAGAACCGCCTCGAGTCTGTTCTACTGCCGTGAACTCACGTGCTGCCATGTTCAGAGGCCACAGCAGCATGAAGGGTTGTGGTATCTTTTTTTTCTTCCCCCTCCCCCCCCCCCGCTTTCCATTTCTATGAATTTTCCTTTCTTTTCCTTTATGCAGTAGATGCTTTCTTCCTCCTGCAGTTCCAGACTCCATGGAGCTAAACAGAGATATTGCACAGATGAATTGCTTTACAGCATTGCAGGGCCCAGGAGCAGGAGCGCAGGCTCTCCCTCCAGGGCTGAGATGCACAGAAGAATGGAAATTGCACTAGGGACCTCTTCCTTTGCTGTGTGGACAGGAAAGTTCATGGTTGCATTCAGGGATTGCGAGGACCACATGGGCTACAGGTCACAGGTGGACACAAAGAGGCCACAAGCTGTTTTTGCACAAATGCTTGTCCGCCTGCCCACTCTTCCATCCAGGAGTGTGCAACTGAGGGGCTGGTCAGGCCAACCTGCCAACTCAGGCACGTGACTAGCCTAACTGCATGCCCAGGGCACACTGCCAGGCTTCCATGGGCCAGCCTTGTCTCCTGTTCCACCTTGGACTTGTCTCATCATTTGTATTTGACTGGTTGTTCCCTTCCAATCCAAACACCTCCAGAAGCCTCCCCGGTGAATGGATCTGCAGGGTCGTCTCCCACCCGCCGAGGCTTGGAGCTCTGGAGGAGCAGAGCCAGAAGGACTCTCACTCCTAGAGGCTAGGCCCCCTTCTCATGTGCTAGAGAGAGATGGTGTAAGAGTGAGGCTTGTGTGTGGCAGGGGCCAGAAAGCTACTAAGCTTTCCCAGGTGACTAGAACGCCTGCCATGAGCTCCTGAATCAGGGATTTTCAGCACTACCTCTGAGCCATGGGGTTGGCTGCCCAGCCAGGCTTCCAGGCCCTGAGGACGTGTGTGGGTCACATGCAGTAAACTCTTGGGTAAAAGGGGTGGGAGGAAACTTCTCCCTTTGGAAGTAGCCGAACAGAATTGTCATCTTCCAAGTAGCCAAGTAACAGCACCCCGCACTAGGCCCATGGGGACCACCACTCAGGGTTCATTTGGGGTGGACAGGACGATAGTTTCTCCACCCTCCCCAGTCTGTTGGGCAGGGTGCAGTGTTGTCTTTATAGGATAAACTCTTTCAGGTCAGGGCACTGATTTTTCCTCTTGGTGTATTATTTGGGGGGGGGGGTCGGACAGGGTGGGGTGGGTATAGTACTATTTTACCAGGGTGCTTCTAAGTTACTTTAAAAAAAAAAAGCTGTCTTTAAGACAAATTTCTTCTTTCATTTGCTTGAGTTCACATTACTACTGACGGTCATGATTGCCTTCTTATTGCACAGGTGTGTTGCTGCCAGTTCCTTTGGCCTCTATGGCCAGGCCCTGGACCCTAATCCTTCATCCCTTCCCCACAACCCCTTTCCAAACAGAAAAGGCCATCGATCAAGGTGTTTTGCTCTTGTAAGCAAATGCCGACTTGTTTTACAGCAATGCCAGCAAGTAACCTATGGGGAAGGACGGAGGTGTCTGTCTGGGGGTTATGACCAGCGAGGGGCTTTTCTCATCCAATCAGGATTACTCCACGCTGCGTGGGACAGGGGCTACTCAGGAGTGGACAGTCAAGGCAGCTCCAAGCTCGAAGGGCAGACCTGTTCCTGAGCCTAGGGACCATCTGGGGTTCACATAGGTCAGAGGGTCAGGGGTTAGCTTTGCATTTGATTCTTAGATAGGACATCTTTAGATTTTTTCAGGCACTTCTGACCCTCACGTCCCCAGATCAGGCAGTTACATGGAAGATACCTACCTTGCTCTGCGTTGGTGGCCCAAGAGTAAGAGAGGAGTGTAGATTCCTTGGCCTTGTTTTTCCAAGGTGAAACAAACTTGTGTTTTTTCCTCCCCATTTTCCCTAACTGGATGAAATGGACACATTCTGATACCCTTTTGTTGGAGAATCAGCCAGTTGGAGGGAAAATAGGAGGCCGGAGATAAGAATCCTTTGAAAAGATTGTGAAATACTGATTTTCATTCTTTCAAGCTTATTTGTAAATACCTATTTGAATGCTGTGTATTTGTACAGGAATTTGAGCAAAAAATGTATAGAGTGTGATGTCCAATTGGTAATCAGCCCTATAAATGTGTTTTTAACCTCTGGCATTCTGTGCTTATTTAAAACAAGAAGACTAACCACTTCCTTTGTGTATTCATGTCTGAAGAAAAAGTGGTTTAATTTACCTGTGCCAGAAAAGTTAAACAAAAACCCTTTGTACCAATGTCCCGAGAGATTCTCTGCTGTATATATTGTGGTAGCATGTTCGCCATCCAGCCAGTGATGTGAATGTCAGATGTAAATACCTGCCCCTGGACTCTGCTCCCCGCTCCCTGGATGCTGTGATGTGAATTAAAGATACATACCTGATACCCGAACGCTGATTCGTGAGTGGGGCGGCGCAGGGCCTTTCCCGCTCCGGCTCCGGCCCG